ATTTCTTTCAATAGATCCTCCTAAATGTTACACACTGGACCTTTAAAAGAGAAGATGCTTGTAGCCATCGGAGCCTGAATCCTGGCTCTTTCTCTAGAAAGGAAGACCTTCCTACCCACTGCAGCATCTACCTTAATCATTACTGAACTATTAGTACAGTGCAGTCTATAACACCCCAAATGACAAGTCAAAATACATCATCACAAGTTTCTAAGAGGGAGAGAAAAAAAAAAGTCTAGCCAAAGTAAAAACAAACAAAAAAACAGCTAAAATTCTGCTGCAGCATCTGTAATTAGAGTTCCTTTTCACTTCTGGTTAAAAGGCATTCTTGTCAAGTATTGGACAAGAATGTATATTTACAGGCAAACAAAACAATTCTTCATGTGCCCAAATCAAGGGCAGGGAAACCGATTATTGATGAGAAAGACATTCCAGAGGCAGGATTTTCCAGCCTTTAGTCTTCAGAGCCATGAAGAAAACATAAATGTGTCACTGACCGAATATGTGTGGTTCTCATTTGTGTTTGAGATCACACACACTGCCCCTTCATTAACGATTAAACCAGATGATGGTTAGACACATTATTAGTCAGTGAAAACAAGGGAGACAGGCATGAATCATGGGTAGTGTTTTTCTTATTCTGAAGCAGCGAGACAGTTGAAAGACCTAAAGCCTTAAATACACAAACACATAATTGAACTCAAACATCTCCAAGCTGTAGTCAAAACAGAGCCACCATACACTGAACCTGCTGGGTGAGGTGCCGGTCTGCTTAGCAGGAGCATAAATATCTTTCCATTTTGCCTCTTTGTAAACACATGTGTCATACTTTTTAGGAAAAAAAGAATGGAACTCAATACCAAAACTGCATATCAAACATATTTCTTTTTGACTTGAGAATCAGGGGCAGTGAGGGGGTTCTCATAATGACACACCACAACACAATTTTATTACACCCACATGCCGTGCGTGTATCTAATTACATAAATATAAAGACAGAGAGCAAGAGAGACAACAGGAACTGTTTATGAAAGCTCCCGCAACCAAGATGTTGTGAGTGAGGGGTTATAGAAAGGAAAAAAAAGGGACCTCAACAGGTTATATGACACAAAGAAAACCTACAGCAAAAAAACACACAAAAGAAATACTGTGCAAATTTTAAAAAAAAAAAAACAAGACTTGAGATTTCCACGTACAGCGGGGATCAATGAACCTGGATAAATCAAAGCTCCTCAGAAACCTCCGAGTCTGTGAAGGTATGACTTAACAGTGAAGGTATGACTTAACAGACAAAAAGAGAACTGTTTCATTCACCAACATGAGGTGTTTGAACACGAAGCTGTAGAAAGCAGTGGGGTGTTCTGGTGTGACACAAATATAGGAAAGGGTAATCCTAGAACAGGCGTAGGCAACCTGCGGCTCTTCAGCCCCTCTCCAGTGGCTCCCTGTGGTGTTGACAAAAGATTATATGGAAATGAATAACTGTTCATTTATCATTGCTGTAGGCCTAAAGTGGTTCTTAGAATTATGTAGCCATTACACTAAAAATAAAAACATGTTTAAACATTTCTGAGTTTAAATTTCAGAATTTAATAGTGCAGTATATAATACACCAAATGACAGACAGATCTGTTTGCTTTCACCACCAACGCGCAGTGCTAGCATATCGGTATGTTTGATCTACAGAGAGAAAATAGCATTAACTACTGCTGGTGGTCCAGTTGCATTATGGGTAACATACACGCCAGGTTTTGACAAGGACAAAGAATGTGTGAAATAAAAAAAGATATCTCTGATTTAGCGGCATCGATTTTCCTAAATAGGTGGAGAACTGCTAAACGTGGATCATTAATCATCACTTAATCATTAACATCCCTAGCAGCGAGTCACACCTCTGCAAAACAAAGCAGAAGAAGAAGAAATATGCCCCATGCAGCATAGATCACATCACAGGCTTTTCCTACTCTATTGTTTTTTTTCATCAGTCTGCATTTAGACCAGCACTTTACCCACAGGACCTGTGATTATCACATTTTGAGGCATACAATTAGCAGCACAGAGGATCTACGCAGCCTTACCATGGATTCTGACAAAAAGCTCAATACACAGAAGAGAAAATTCCATGAGAGAAATTCATGTACAGTTTTATGTGTTGTGATAGCTCAGAAAAAGGGCTTCCTTTTACACATCATTAATGGGTAACCCCATGCCTTAGATTGTCAACTGCAATACTTTTCCATTGTAACATGATGTTTAACCTTGCATTAATGTCAAAAAACGTATCTTATTAAAACAAAACAACGTTTTCTAGTTATTTTCCTTCAACAACAATCTTCATCTCTTATCAACACTGAAATTATCTCATTAAATTTGCACTTTTTGGTCTCAAAAATATATAAACAATTCTAATGGCTATAGTGTCCAACAGCGCAACAGCTTAAGGACAACTTTGTTAATAATCTTGTGTGTGCATATCACCAGTACCATGACTCACACCAGTGCTCTAGCAAAAAAAGATTAATATATTAACTTGAAATGGTCAAGTGTGTCCTATCTGTAGAGAGAGGGAAAGCTTCTCCTGTTACCAAGAATGGATATCAGCCGTTTTGAGCACCAGACCAGCAAGATCATTTGGTGTACAAGGAGAAAGCACTTTCATAACAGCAGATCAAATCTAAATTCTGGTCAGGAAGAAATCTCTGCACCTAGACATATCATGGGTATTTATCTTCTCATCCACCAACTGATTGCAATCATCAGAAATGGATGTGACAGTGAGCGATACATCTCATGCTTTTCCTTCCTATTTGGATTTATATGAAGTATAAAGTGTTCTTATTCTTTTCATATTCATACGTTCACTGGGATTCATGCGTTTTAAACTCAAGCTATTCTCATCCTGTCACCAGCACTGTCATGTTTCTAGTAATGAGTTCTAACAATGACATTGTGGCAGGATTTAATCAAACATGTCTCTGGGATTTCAATGGGTGTTTTAGGTGGGTTTTCAAACACTGTCCTTGACATCCCCATAACATTGGTTGTAATCTAAGTCATTAATAGGGATAGAACTGGTGAAGGAATTGCATCATTCACCAAAAGACAAAAGAAAAGAGAGCTAGGGAGGCATCGTGACATGGCAACTTGACATATCTGGGATTCATTTAATGAGCACAAGGATTGTAATGGGAGTGAGGGGGTGTGAGGAAGAGAGAGGAAAAGATTTTGGAGAAGACAAAGTGAAATGGAGGCTGTGAAAACTGAGAGCCTCGACAAAGGTGAGAGAGCTGTGACTGTGAATGTTTAACTTTAAGCATTGGCTGTGCCAGAAGGAGTAAGTCTGTGCCAAAAAAAAAAAAAAAAAGAGCTAAATCTAATTGCATACTGCAGCATCCGTCCCCTTTTCCACCAATTTTTGAAACTACTATATCACCATTAATTCCAACTCTGTGGTTGTTGTCAGTGCAGTTTGTGTCACTGCTAACACCCACTGTTGACCTGGTAAGGGTTTAGACAGCCTCCTCAGGACTACTACTGAGAGAGCCTTGATAATGGTCATTAAAAAGAGACGGAGGAAAAGATACATTATAGAAAAAATCCACCCATTGCCAATCTGTAGGTGGTAACCAGTGTTTGACCTTTGGTGGCATTGTGGGTAACGGAGTTCTTGGTGACTCACAGGACAAACACCCACAGGGGCCTTAGCTCCCCACTGGTTTCAAACTATGACTAATAAAAGAGCACCATGTGCATGATCTGTTAAAGTTAATAAAGATAAAAGTCAAAATACGGCTCATAGTTTCAGAATATTATAACAATATGATGTAAATAGAAACAAATATTTGACAAGAACTATGAGAAACTGGAAAAACAAGTTTGCTACCTAGCAGTCTTTCATCATACAAATTCATAACTACATGGAATTGGAAAGAGTATATTCCTCACAGATTAGTGAGTTGAGATAAATTTAGAATAAAAAAATAAAGCAGTAGAGCTGACTTTGTCATGCATAAAACTCCAAACTAGCTCTGAACAGTTGTGCAGTATTGGCATGTAGCACTGCAACACAGGGTTAATAAATCCCACTTAATTTCAATGACTTTGCATCACACTTTATACCCTATGCATTCATCATTTATTTATTTATTTATTCGGTGATGATTTGATGCTGTTTGAGCACAGCAAATTCATTTTTTTTTAGTCACATGCACACCTTAATGTGATGCAAATTATTGTATAGGCATCGTCTATGAAAATATTGAGAAAAAAATGTTGACTCAACAAATCGGAATATACACTGGGAGAGGTCAGTAAACTATAGTAGGTTATTTCACATACGTAACATGCTCCCAAGGTTAGTTTATATGCCATGGTACTACTAAACATTAATGAGGTGTGAAGGCCAATTCTCATGCTGGCTGCTGAAAACGGATCACTTTTTTTATCATAGCAGAGCAGACTGCCTTCATACATTTCAACGTTAGCCTGTATGGTTCATGCACATGCTCCGTATGAACATGTTAGAGATGAACAAACTGGTCATGGTTATTTACTTTCACGCACATGCCTGACAGCCGTCAGTGGTGATCAAACACGACAGGGTGTGTGCTACAGCAGGAATGACCCTGGCCCATATTACTTCCTGAAACAACCTTTCGTTTTATCAAGTGGCAAGATTAATTACCGAAACATCACAATGACCAGCTCAATATATCCAGTGGCCACAACCCTAAATTCAATGGGAGGTTCTCTTTTTGCTTCCTTAATGAGGGGAGAGGTGAGATTGCATGTGGATTGATCTTCAGTGGGTCTGACCGTTAGGACTCTGAAGGTCCCTGAGACGAGATGGGGGTCACTGCAAAGTACTCTTCAACAAATGAGACAAAGCCTGTACAGTAAATCACTTGTCTGATGGACCCCTCCCACGCACGCACACATACAGGATAAAGTGAGAAAGGTGAGAGCCAGGACAAAGCCAGGGCAGGGGACACCTTTACTGAGAGGACAGAGGTGACAGCCAATCAAATAGTGAGATGATAGATGGGCCTCATGAAAGGGAATGTGGTGTATGTCCTTTCCCCCTTCGAGGAGGATGGCATCTAATGGAGAATCCTGAGGACTTAGCATGTCACCAACCTTTCAGGACATCCTTGCGTCCTCATTCATTCCCCTAATGAATTCTGTATGGTGTGGGAAATGGAAATGAGCTATCTTTCAATACGCAGCAGGAAGGTACCAGCTAATTTGACAGTTCTGTACTTGCAGCTAATATCTAACAGTCTCTGGTGAGACAAATGATATAAACAGTGATGAGGTGAAAAGTGCTATAAACCAAATCCAGTATGGTTTCTTTTCTTGCACTGGTAAGAAATTCAACTTCTAGTGGAGCTTACTGCTAAACCGCAAAGTATGTATTGCCTTGACAACTGAGCTTCCCGAGGCTGATGTTTTCACATCTGGCTGACTGAAGGCAGGATGGAGACAAGCAGCGACACAAGCAGGACTTTTCATGTTGATCCAGGCGTAAGTTTGGGTTTGGACAGATGTGGTGTTCAGTCGTCTTGCTGTTCTTAATGGGCCGTAACTTGAGTGCAGCTATACTGAGTTTCCAGTGGGGAGTCAGTGCGCTTTATGCTGCTATTGTCACGAAATGTACCAAATGTGCAAAACAAAAAGAATGCGCAACTTGGTATTTCTTTTCTAAAACAAAAAAACAGGTATGATTTTGGGATCTAAATGATATCGGAAGGTCAAGAATGTCACTCAAGACAACATAAAAAACAACCCAAGGTGTGGGAAAAAATGCATCATTTTAACAAAAGATGACATATTTGTGGCAAGTTATCTGTAAAAGTAACATCATATTGTAATAAGAGCTGCATCTGAAAGTCCTGTTTGTATTAGCATGGAAACAAACCACATTCAAATTCATTCATGACACATTTCCCTCAGAAGCAAATGCATCATTCATGGTTCATCACCTGCGCATATATTTATCCTTGAAACCATATGACTGGGTCATATTAATTTTGCAATGTAGACTCAGCAGAGTTTACATGTAATTTATATTCATGCAATTAGGACAGACTGTCAAACTGATTTACATTTGATAATGCTACAAAAATTAATACATAAAAAACACAATTATTGCACCACAGAGTTACGTTATTTGTATTGTTGCTGAGAGGTGTTTCACCAATGACAGTGTAGTCAAAAGTGATTACTCAACAAATGACTAATACAATGACCTCTACACTAAAGCGGAACATAGTAAATGCAGAGAAATATATGCCAGTTCAGTACTGTGTGCTGCAATGATGCACCAGCACAAATTCAATACTCTCATGTCTTTTCATACACCAAGAGTCAATCATTCCCTTCTGTAAGCTATAAAGCTGATAAATCTACTGCATGTTGGAATCAAACAGCCAGGAAAGTGTGGCACTTCTGAGAGTGTGGAGAAAGCTGACCCCATATTCACCACATCTTTGCAAACTGAATCTGAGCTATTTTTTCAGCTTGAGTATATGGAGCAGATTTGTATTATGAGTACATCTAAATGAAAGAGAGACAGCAGTTGAAAAAGAGAGTCAAAATAAAAAAAAAGAAGGATCAAATATTAGCTTGTGCAAGACAGAAGGTGAGCGCTTGCTGCATGTTTAATTTCTGAATCCATAATTGCACCTAGATAAGATGCTTCTGCAGAGAACTGTGCATCTTACTGCTGCACTTTCAGATCAGAACAAACAGAGTAATGTTACATTCTGAAAGAGGACCACGGTCATATGGTTGAATAGGTATAGTTGCTTACCTGGAGTGGGTGTGGTCTCCTGTTTGTCATGCGCCTCATGCCACTGCATGGTGCGATGGTAGCTCAGCATCACCTCCCACAATGCCTTGCATAGATCGGTCAGGCAGGGAATGTAGCTGTCCAGGGTGATATGCTGCCAAGGGAGAAGTTGCGAAAAACAAGGTCACTGACGCTCTTTTCTACAGTTTATGAATTCCTTGTCATATTTTGTATTACTCTATTTGTGACATACATCTATACACCGATCAGCCATAACATTGTGAGCACTGACAGGTGAAGTTAATAACACTGATTATCTGGTTATCATGGCACCTGTCAGTAGGTGAGATATATCAGGCAGCAAGTATTTTGTCCTCAGAAGTTGATGTGTTAGAAGCAGAAAAATGGGCAGCCAAATGAGGATTGAGCAGCTTTTGGGTGTTCCCGGTCTGCAGTGGTTACCATCTATAAAAAGTGGTCTAAGGAAGGAAAAGCAGTGAGCTGGAGACAGGGTCATGGGTGGCCAAGGCTCATTGATGCACGTGGGCTGGCCTGCATGGTCTGATCACACAGACGAGCTACTGTAGCGCAAAATATTTTTCAGAGTTAATGAAACACACTGAGCTGAACTACTTTAAAATAAATTACAAGATTTAGCAAGAGACTAAGATAAAAAAAAAGATAATCAGCTGTCCTCTATGTTGTATCTAATTAAAGCCTGTTTATAATCATCATTCAAGGACACCGTGTTGGAAAACATTGATTTTCTGTGTCAAAAGAAACACTTTCACCTTATGTAAGAGCTAATTAATGGAGGGGCTGATTAAAATAAGGATGTTATTGAGATAATGTCTTACTAATACACAGAATATAAATTCAAAAATATCTCTGATGTGCACATTACTTTATATTATACCATGACAACATTCCAAAGTGACATGCATAAATGATTCTCAATTGTTAAAATAGCATTAAACTCAAATAAGACCCAGTTTTTAATGTTATCTGTGAGAAAAGGGTTTTCTTTTTACTTCTTTTTAACAGTCATGTAAATCAAATGGACTTCACAGAGCTATTCAGTCTCAGGGCAATATTGTACTATATGGTTGTCATGGAAACGGCACTCATGTCCAGTTAATATACATACATTTTCTCATATATGACATTTTTGATATAATAAAGATTAGAGCACTTGTATAATAATCCTAGTACTATAGATACATAATATGCAGGTGAATCATCAATCGCTGTCTGTGCACCAGAAATGTATTCCTTTCTGGTGTGATATATGTTCATATGCCCAAGGCATGAAGTGACTTATTGCTTTCATGGCAACTTTCTTATTTCTGCACATTATGAGACACTGTGTCGTATGAGGAGACGGGATCGATGGTAATTTTGCCAGTAACATGGCTTACATATTGACGTTTATAAGAGAATTCTAATTCTCTTTTTTAAGATAAATAAATATTTATCTACCTACCTACATATCAGACAATATGACTTAACCCATAGACTAACCGCAAACTTCTGCATTGAGCTTTGTGTAATATCAGAGTGGTGCTGAATCCAAAACAATTCAGCTAAAAATGTATTAACAGAAGTACTCAGTATAATGCACACTGTTGTTTTTCCTGCACACATCGAACAGATACACACACTGAGCTCATATGAGGCCAGACAGGCTGGAAAACTGGGTGTGTTAAATTAAAATTTGGCCCACCTAAGAAAGGTGCAGCTGGCACAATAGCAGCCACTAACACAGTTCAAGGCTCTACAGCACAACTCGTCAATAGAGTCCTGTCAACATATTCAGAAACAAATGAATCACCGCCAGATGAAACAATGCCGTCCACAGCAGCCGCACTTTACTTTGCTTAAACCACAATAATGAATTGAGTGTTTTTAGACCCCTGCTATCTTGCACAAAAGCACAGTAAATTATACACCACAAGCCTCACACGTTGAAGACTACTGAGAGTAAAAAAAAAGTGCATTGCAATACCCCAACTATGCAAAAACAAACATGAGTAGTCCTTCTCTGGCTTTTCCCTCTGGCATGTCCACGTCCCTGAGCGACAAACCACCACTTGCCAAGACAATCTCTCAACAGATCATTTCACTGACACATCTGAAGTAGATTCATGACTGTAAGGCATCAGCAAGAAAGTTTCATGTGATGACTTCTATCTCAAAAGATGTTACCCTGCCCAAAGGAGCTAAATTGAGTCCACTGCTTTCAAATACCGATACAATTAACGGGTAATCAAAAATGAATAGGTCTTGAAATAAAAAGTGGGAAAAGACAAATAGTGAACATTCTCAAAATAAAGAAGTCAGTGAAATACTGCATTAAAGCACAGAATATCAGAGGTATGGTGATGCTTTCATCTAAATTTCACTGTTAAATACACAGACTTTTAATCATCCAACAACATGGCCTGCAAAACATTTAATGATGACAGTCAATTATGCTCTTACCAATGGACTAAATTCTCATTCAAATGTGTTTTAACCGCACTCAAACTTAAGAGGTTTATTATACCTTTGCTGCAACGGACACTAATCGCTGTTCCTGAGGATGATTTTCTAAGCATTCACAGCGGCAACTCCTCTCCAAATCAACAAACCTCTACACCGCACCGACCACAGCAAACTGTTCACAGTGCTGAAGAGTACACTTGACCAATTAGTTGAACCAATTATTTTTTTCTTAAAAAAAAGGTGCACTGTGTAAGAATTGGCCACCTGTCGACTTTGTATTCCAATCATACAGGGGGCAGCATATCACCAGAGTAACCGCTAACTGCTGCTAACTGTAGCTGCCAGTAGCTAGTTAGCTCAGTTAGTTGTGCAGTTTTTTTTGTTTTTTTTTAGAAAAGCAATCAATGGCACCAGTGCAGGATATTTCAGTCAGGTGTGTACAAAGAGCCACGTTGACTACAATGACAATGCATTACCTGATATTGGTAGTATAAGTACCGCCTGAGCCATTAACACCAAGAAAGTACCAACTAGCCATTAACAACTGGAACACATTTAGCAATATATAGGGCTCTCCTCATGCCTGAACAAACAATATCAATCATAACACTGGACGGCTAGATAGTCACACCCAAACAACTCAAATTAAACATATCAACAGTACTTGTAAAGAATATTAGAAAATATACTAATTGTGTGTGTCCACTATTAAAAATGACATAAAATACTAGCACTAAGCCAAAGCCATGATATAAAAACTATACTATTATACTAGAATTATAATTTTCACATACAGTCAATGAATTACTCAATGAATAATTGAGCACCAGTACTTCAGAGACCAACTTGAAATAAATAAATAACAACAATCATAGCTGCAGTTACAGACAGGCTCCAGCACCACCGGTCAGATCGGTCGCTAATGAACCATTTCTGACAAGACAAGACTTCCATTTGACATTCCATGTTCTCCACCAGCCAGCCAACAGTATGTTGCCAGGCAACTGGAGTGAGGGGAGACAGTGTGGGGGCAAGAGGTCTGAGTGTGTGGGGGTTAAGATTTTGAGTGGGTTTGATAAGGAGAGGTCACCTTAGCTATCTTAGCTACCTAAGCTAATAAAAATATTTTGTTGGAACCAGCCGCCCACCTTGCTGGACACAACTTTCTCAACAAGTACAGACGAGAGCTCGGAGGAGGTAGGCCTGGATCTATTTTAGTTCTGAAAACCTGTCATTATGCACAATACCAAGCTGTGTCAGGGAGGTTTTGAAAAGACAAATCGCTGAGTCCATTTTTTTCCAGCAATGATGTGTGTGGGTATTTGTAGGAGCATGTGTGAAAAGGAATGCCACACATTTTAGAAAAGAGACGCGTGGAAGAGAGAGCAGGTACCCTTGAGTTAACTGATTCTTTCTTTATGAATAGGCAATCAGACCCCCCCCCCCCCCCCCCCAAAAAATAAATAACAAACGATTAACAGCAATCTGCATACCTGCTGCGGCAGCAAATACGCTTTTTCTCTCTCTCACACATATTTAAACACAACTGTGTGCACACGTTTGTGAAGAGAGTCAAGTTTAACTTTGAGCCAACATATATGACAGGTACAGTGGATTCCTACATAATCAAGAAAATCTCTTAAAATTATATCTTATCACTGTGCGTGTCCCGATTTATGTACTGGACAGGAAATTACTTTTATTTGTAAGGTTAAGGACTGGTTTCAGATATTTTATAGCGTTCTGGATGGCATAAATCTGTTTGTAAGCTAATAAAGGCCTCTGCAATTTAAAGTGACATTCAATTTATGTGGCTAGAATTCAAACCACTTACCAATGCTATCCTTTAAGCCAATGTCTTTAAACCTTTTCAGAAAAATAACACCGGTTGACACTATGCTTTTGATAATTCAATAAATAGTTTTAGGCGATACTCCTTTTCATCATCATCACTTTATATGCAGTTATCAAAGACAGATTAGAGAATAAAGTATGAGATTTCACACAGGAACACAGGTTTTCAATCATCTGCTCCCTTTTCATGTAGTACTTTAATTAACTTTATTTATTTATAACTTTAATGTGCATCGTTACAAAAAGTTGAACAAGGTTATTTGCAAATGTCAAAGGCATTGACTGAGTCTCCATGGGATTCTGGGGGAGATTTTATTGTTGCTATTCAAACCACAGATTCCACAGAAACATGCTAAATTTATCCAAGAAATAAACAAAAACTAAACGAATGGGCCATCCTGAGAATGATACATTTTTACATGGGACCAATTTCCATCCGTAAGAGTTGCGATGATACGGTGCACAATGTTTGGCAGTAAATTAGTTTCATTCTGTAATGAAGCTATCTGCAGCCACAGTTAATTAAACACAAAAAGCCAGACTAGGATCGCGGTACTGCCTAACATGAAAAGACAACAGAGGCTACAGCCACTCCACAACCTTGTAAAACGGCCTATCCTTTGGACATACAACTGCACTAAAGGTCAGACTAAATCAAAACAAGGGGACACTGCATAATAGAGTGGGATAGATCACTATGGGTTACGGATGAGAAGTTGTTGGATAAGTGTTGGTGTGATTTCTCTATCATCAGTAGAGCTCATAGCTTTGTATAACACACGTAAAAAAAAAACAATACTAAAAGGCTAAAGCCCCACTAGCAGCTTCCAGCAGCGACTAGTGTGTTCCCATTACTGTTACTACTATGATATAAACGGCATGAACGAGAAGTTAAGTAAATTACCAAGGTAGCTGGGATGCAGTATACCATCCTTTACAGTCACCTCCTCTCCTATGAGAACCTCCTATGATTCCGGGAGTGAACTGTCCTATTTCCATCGAGAGAAAAGTCAGACAGACCAGGGGATTGATAAGGAGTGAGGCTGGCCAATAATGATGAGATGTTGATGTAAAATTAATAAGACCCTTTCACAATCAGTACTGACCTTTCTGAGTGTTCCCATTTCCCTTGAATTTTAAGTTGCATACCTAAGAGGCAAGTTCAGAGGGTCTAATGTGGCAGTAACATTTTCTTAACCTTTATTTATCAGGGGAGCAGCAGCTGAATAAGTTTGCTCTTCTCCACATACACACCTATTGATACAGGTTAACACCTGCTTCAGTGGAGCAGGTGATGGTTTGATACCTTGTTGAAGAGCCAATCAACAGTATATGTTGAAAAACCAAAGAGTATTGCTTAAAGTGTAATGATTTGAACCAGAACTGCTGACAGGTATATTTTTTATACTGGTCAGAGAGATCTTGGAAATGTCAGCGAGTTCCTCTATGCTGCAAAATACCCAGAAACATCCGAGCGAGACACTGAAAGACATTTCAAATAGTGAGAAATTTCATAAAGAACAAGTTCAAGCCCATCTTCAGATTTTGAGCACCTCTTCAAAACCACTTCAGTCCAGTGTGTGTGCAGTTAGTAGTTCTCTTTTTGACCTTTTAAAGGCAGGTACAGTACCTTAAATAAAACTATCTACTGTAAGGAGTAAAAGTAAGCAGACAGGCTTAAAACGCTGCGAGTTAAACAATCGAACTGTGTGTGGTTGTTCGCACATCTCTTTTTTTAAGCGTGTGTGTGTATGTGCTGCCCAATCAATCATAATCACACAGCCGACGTGTGTGTAACGACGCATCCCATCAATCCTAAGTTAGTGTTTGTACAGTCTATGTGTGTGTTTGTTGCATGAACGGGATCATCCAGGCAACACAGCGTGCTGTCAGGGTATCTATCAAACACAAGTAAACATTAGTATGTGTCTGTAAGAACTGTACAGTTGCATGCACACGGTATTTCAGGAGATCCATGACACCGATTTCCAGTAAGCCTAATAACAATTCGGCCCACAGGAAAAGTGGACAATTAGGTATGTCTCTTCAGCTTAAGGGAAGAATGTTTTGTTTCACTGAATATAAAATATATTACATACAACATCACAAATGCAAGTAAAAGATTGATGAAATATGAAAGTAGTCCAAAAATGTTTCTACTAAAACCTCCAAAAAGACATATTAAGGCAGAATAATTTGTGAAAAAATACCCTTAAAAGCACAAAGAAACTGAAACCTCTCGTTTCTTTGCAACTGTGTCTTATCTTATCTTTCGAAATTCATGACAAGAATATTACCAACGAGCACGAGTTCCACAAGGAACCAAACTTTATTGTATATTAGATTTTTTTCCTCCATAACTCAATCTCAACTTTTGACTGAGGTGGATTAATCCCAGACGATCTCGCATTAAAGAGAAAAGAAACATTTACATAATTTATAACAGCAGCCACTGGTAAAGCTAACAAGTCAAACTTCTTTGCAAGTAAGCTCTCACCCCCACAACAGTGAGAGAGAGCTCAGACCACAACTGAGAAAGAGTTCACATTTCATAAGCATCACCTTCATCACATCACCTGCTTCATGTCATATCTTTGACATCTTTTTGCAGTGACATAAAAATTGTGCTCATACTGAGTGAAGCCTTGACCTTGAACCCCAAGCATTTATCAACGGAATATTGCTCCTTCCAGGCCACCTACCAATTGGGGTAGGAAAACGAGCATAAACGGAGAGAAAAAGAAGCAGAAAGCAGGGGAAGAAGAGAAGAGGTAGTACAGAGGCAAGAGGTAAATGGCAGGGCAATGTAGATATGAGCACAGTGGGCCATGCCCCTAATAAAAGCTGTGCAGTCAAACAACAAGGCCAAACATGGAGTTAGAGGGTCTGGGAGGAAAAATCTATGACAGTTGACATATCGGGAGGGACTGTAAAGAAACAATCTGCACCCTACAACCAGGCAGTCTAACCTTTACCTATACCTCTATATACTCCTCCACACTGTAGGTCAGACTGTAACGTGTATTGGTTCTGTATTGTGAGCAACATTAATTATCGCATAGTGAGGTGCTAAGCTATACACCCCCCCCCCTTCTCGCAATCAGTTTCTCCACGCTTTAGAATCCCATGTCATGAAATGAGGTGTTTTTCACTTGGCTACAAGGCAGTAGGACAGCTAGAGGAGTAATGTGTATAACAAAGTATGTGCCCCGACTGAACCTTTTCTGGCCTACACAGTTAAAATACAGACAGAATGGGTGGATATTGGTGGAATACATTGACCAATGGACTCTCTCATCTCCTTACCGTGCACAGGTCCTTGTACTGCATCTTCTGGAACTTGGTATCAGCGTTGCCGGCACACAGCTCCACATATCCCAGAACCACTTGGAACACTGTGTTGTGGATGGCCTGGGTGAAGTGCATGTGCAGCTGGTCCATAGCAGTCTGCAGAGAGAGCCAAACACACTGTTATGAAAACTATTATCTCAGGATGTCCCTGACAACTGCCAGTGTGAAGCTATGAAAAGGCAAACTGCAAATCAAACTTCTTGGAGACACATTCTGTATAGTTGATATTTTAAATTATTTGCAGACATATTATGCTAGTGACACAACATGGCAAGAAGGAATATGAGGATAGCTGTCTACCCTGGGATCTGCAAATGTTCAAGACCAAGGAAAAATAGGCAATTTTGCCTCCAGTTTCCATGATTCTCGTCTCTGAAACCAGCTTAGTTTGCTATAGATATTAGTGACATGTATGGTATGGTACCACAGCAAACCGCCTCTAGCTCTGTTCACTTGCGGCACCATTCGTCACATATGGAATACCCTGAGCCATGCCATCAAAATGAGTTATTATCAGGGAACTATGACTTAAAAGAAATTTTCCCCCATCAGTCTTACACTGTTAAATATCACATAAAAATGACAATGTACTGTGCAATATTCTTTTAGTTCCATTATGGTTTCCTTGAGGGAAATTATCAGTTGCTTAAAGCTCCACGATGTTCACCAGATAGTCGATCATTTTGCTAAAAATATTGAGTATGGAAGCTTTAAACAAACACAACTTACTAATAGCAAAATAGGATTTCCTAATTTCTTCATTCATCATTTATAAGCAGCGATTGAATTTTATGAGAAACATTGCTCTTAACTACGGAGGTCGAGAACGGCCGTGCTTGCAATTATTGTGAGTGGTTACCTTGATCACACCTGATTTCATCCTTCAAGATCACAGTCAGGGAAAAAGTTGTTACCAGAATGAACATCTGAGAGTAAATTTACACTACTCATTTCCTGGCAATGGGATGCAATACTGACAAAATACATCAGGAGAAGATTAAGATTTGTTAAATGAGCTCAAAGATCCCTGCAATCGTCCAGATCCTTCTCATGCAATGTCAGGCTTCCAGGCTGCTGGGCCTTAACAGTAGGAGGGCTGCTGCTGCTCATTTTCAGTATGAAAATGAATATTAACTAGCAATGCATTCCTCCATGCACTGTCCATTATGTTGAACCAACAACTACGCATGCTGGCACGGCACTCCTGAGTAATATGAGGAAGCAACCTTTTGTTTTCTCGCGATTACAGGTTGATTATCTCTTGATAACAAAGCTTGTTCTAACTGCATTAAAAAAACAACATCTGCAATACAATCTTCCTCCACTGCACTGTGGTTTGTTTGTGCCCTCAGAAATTCAAGTCTGTTATCCCCTATTCTCTTTCAAAGTCAAGTTCCATTTACCATCATTTTCTGTTTTGCAGCTACCACCCACAGTCTTGCTATAGGACCCTAGAGGAATCGAGGACACCAGAGTTGCAGGAGAGTTGGGCAAAGCCCTACAGGTAATGGGTGTTGCAGTGCAATTAGATTTTCTTACCGCAAGCTTAAGACCACAAAATGTTGCCCCCATCCATTCTGACTGCCTGCTGCCACAAAAGTAATTTAAACATTTCCCTCCTTTGTGAGAGAGTTTCACTTCATCAGTCCTAAAAACACCAAGAAACTCTGTGGCTGTGGCTGCACAAAGCATGCACTGTAGATAGGAAAAAGGAGGCAGCTATGGCAACTAACATAACAATAAATATCATAATTTCCAGCCGCCAATCTTATTAATCAACTGCAAAAGCAAAAGGACTCGTTCTTCGGCCGCTACTTATACCAAACAAGCAGATGTTTCATTCAGACAAATGTTGGAAAAGCAAACTGGGTGTCAGGCTCATTAGGTAAAGAGCAACCAGTGTGCCTCTGAGCCAGGTAATGAGAGTGAGAGCCAAGAGACCAGTGTAAGGAGAAAGAAACAAATGGTTTGAAGTGGCATGCTACTTTATACAGTACAGTTTTAGCGTACCTCTTGAATAAGAATGTGAGAGACAGATGCAGAGAGGGTGTGACAAACAGCAGAAGTAAAAAGCTAAAAAAAAAACAAAAAAATAACAGCAAGCACTTGGGCAGTCAAGAGGCAGTCAACAACAACTCTTTAGTTAGCTCTTAAGTCTACAAATGCTCATTATCACAGTCATAAGAAAAACATTCACTCTTAACACGCCTTGATGACACAGTCTCCACCTCAAAGATATGCCTATTGTCAAGAGGCATATAGCATATTTATTAACATCAACAATGGCTCAAGTTTCGAATAACAATGACGTGCTATGTTGTTGTACGAGCGCCAGGATGAAAACAAGAATCTGTTTTGGTTGCTTGGATTATGCGACTCTTGGCGACTACGCTGTCCAATTTCAACTGTTTATATAATTTATGATACTTACCATTTCAACCATTATACATTAGTACTGCCACGCGTAATGCGGAGAAGGTGACTCAATTTTATTTCATGTTGTCTACCCCATTAATTAACAGAATTTACACTGACAATACAACAGCTGTACAGTAAAATGCCGTGTTTGCAGAACATTAATTCACCCAATGTGTTACACTGGCAAGTATCCACACACATAGTACAATCTGGCCCAGCTCCAATATCCACCATAAGCCCTGAGCACTAAACCCTCACAGATTTTAATTACCATCACCAGGAGGCTCAACGGAAATGTGTGAGTGCAGAAGGTGCAAGAGTTCAAAATGCTGGATAAGGAATAGAAAAGCATTTGTGGAACCACAAAGTCCAAACAAACCCGGCTGAAAGGTGTTCTGACACAGCAGCCTCATCATTGCTCAAAATGATCACGCATAGCTAAATGGCGAGTCACTTCAGCTGGTACTGGGCCACAAAATCTCCCACTTGTCAGAGACGGAAGGTAACAAATATTTCAAGGATGACAAGGAAAATGTGCAAAATGTATAATTCTCGCTTACAACTCGAGGCTTGATTGATGATCTGTACCAGAGAGCACTGGTTCAGAGGAGTTGAAATAGTTTTACACCTAAGCTGTGAATACAAGGTCAGGGCTGTGAGAATGGAAGAAGGAATGCAAGTGAAGGTAAGAAAGAGAGCAGGGCGAAGGGAGAAGCTGACATGACATGGGTTACAAAAGAGAAAGGCCCAAACATTATGGATCAATGCTTTTTGACAACAAATATGCGGCTTGCGAATGGGACATGAGCAGCAAAGGATTAAAGATAGAGAGACAGAAAGACGCTATTGATAAAATATCACATAACATTTAAGATTATAGTGTATCATATTTCTCCCCAGCGCATGCTTGACAGAAACTACAGTATTATTTATTGTTCTGAACAAAAAAGGTCTTACACCTTCAAATGAACTGCAAAAATTGTCACTACAAACATATTGTTGTGACAGTATCGCCTCGGCCGTTTTGATGGTTTGAGAGCTTATTTTATATTATCCAACTCTATTTTTCTTTTTGTGGGTGAATTATTTTTTTATTGGATAGGACCGCTCAAGATAGAAAGGATGGGGGATGCAGGGGATGACACACAGCAAAGGGCCACAGGTTGGATTTGGCATGGCTTCAGTCTTAGTACATAGGCCATAAGTTCTACCAGGCTAGCTCCACGCCACTGAGGCAAGAAGGAATAATAATTACAAAGAGAAACTCGAATAACCCAAATTACATTCTCATGTATTCCAAAATGGTTTAACTCGCTGTAATTTAAATGGTGGCAAAAGGTGGTGAGAGTAAAGAAGCCATTCTGCTTGGTGAATGCACACAACCCTGAAATGCCGTTAAGGAGAGGAACAGCCAAGATGAACACAAACTTTAAAAAAATGCTGATATTTAATCCCCTTCCAAAAAAGAATCCCCAATAAGAGAAAAACAAAGAGTCAAACAATATATGCAGTGAGGACAACAATTGGACCATCACATCCAGTCATGTTTAGCCATTCCCCGTGACCCTGTAGACGAGTCAAACCACTGACCTGTGTCTTGCCCAGGAGCGTATAGGCCAGCTGGACCTTGGTGTAGTGCGAAACATCAAAGTGCTTACAAGTCTTCGACAGGGCGACATCAAGCTGCTCCTGGAGCCAGAAATAGATAGATGACAAGGGGGAAAAGGGGGGAAAGAGAGGGGAAGAAAAGAGAGAGGGATTATCAACGTTAAGACCAGGGATTTAGATATAGATGTGAAGATGTATAGCTACCACACAAGGCCAAGGGCAGGTAATTGGATGTGGACGTGGGTGTATATGTGTTTGTGTGTGTCTGAGTCTTTGACAAAGACATAAAAAAAAGGGGTAAGAAAGTAACACAAGGTTAGCAGGAAGTTAGGAAGTACAGGAATGTGTAACAAAAAAATGCCGACCTCAAAGAATATAACGCTGACAAGGCTAAGGGATCAAATACCTTGCGTCACCACGCATTTTCTCACGCCTTATGTTTAAAGCTGTGCTTTTACTGTAACATAATGCAGTGACACAACAAACGCTCTATTCTACAGTAATTATTTTAACTGAATCCTGAAAGTCCAAACTACTTTGCCACTGTAAATATAATGTCTCATTATATGTTGTGGAGTTTTACTGCAGACTGTGCTAATTTTCACTGCGATTGTCTAACTTTTATACAATGGTCACATAGAAATTCTGCATGTGCATTCTGCCCTGATAACACATTTTACATCTTACTGTGCCAAATCATGCTTAAAGAGCAGAAATTGCTTCGATTTATAGAAAAATTGCTTGACTGGGTTGGTTGAGTGGCTGGTTGCCTTTCCGTCGAGGGCCAGGATAGTAGGAGATAGTTATGTGTGTATGTAGAGTATATGTATATTTACATGAGTGGCTCTTAGCTGCAAGATGAAGGTGTTAGATACCAAAATCCTTTGTGCAAGTGTTTACATTTATGATTTTAGAGGATTTTGCTTTCACAAACTCATACTGACAGGTAAACAAACAAGTACCTTGGTGCATGGCTATGTATGTGTGTGTGTGTACATGCACACCTGTTTCTTGTGTACAGACAAAAGTGTAAGTAATTAATCTACTGAAGCGCAGCAGCAGCGGAGCAGAGAAAATTGCTTTGCATACCATTTATCACACACAAGTATCACGACACAGCTCGAGATGAAACAGATATAATTTACTGTGCTTGCGTACTCACAATAATGACTTTCTGAATGTGTCAATATTTGGCAGACCCAGAATGAGAAAGCCAAACTATCAAAATGTCAAAATGAAGTATAAATTGCTTCTTTCAGACGAGAGCTTCTGGAAAATTACAAGGTTAGAGCAAAATATTATTCACCGCTGAAGGTCTCTCACTGATAACGCTCTCAAACAATAGAATTAGAGATAAAGCAGGGAAGCACATACCTCTATTTGCTCCAGAGTGTCTTGTAGTTTGGAATTCAATTCGCTGTGGGGAGAAAAGGGAGAGCGTTATTTCCTCAGTTCTGAAGCAGAATATGGAATCTACTATCAGATAATCAATTAATTAATGTCTGTTTGGGATATTAATGGCTTTGTCAATAAAATGTCAAAAATAATCTTAAAATTGTGATAATTTAATCTCCATAATATGGCAAATGTCCATTTGCCATATTATGTTTTTTCCAAGCAAATTACTTTCTTTGTAAAGAAAACTACAAATATTCCAATCATTCCATCAATTTCCAATCATATCAAACAGAGACAAACAAGCAAATTGTATTTACCAATCTGTAACCATCAAATCTTTTATATTTTTAGCAGAAAAATGACAAATTCTGCCATTCAATATTAAAATTTGCCCTCAATTTATTTTCTATGAATTGCTCGATTGAGTTACTGTTAGAGGATAGGATTCTCCTCCTTCGTGTGTGTGTGTGTCTGTACCAGGCTATCACAGATACAAAACGCCTACGCATCCTTGGAGCGTGCTCAGATTTCGCCTCATCCTAGGAAACGCTTTCAACTTAAAAGCTGCGAAGCAGCAACAGAAATCACGACTATTTTGCCCATCCCAAGACAGCACCAATTCCCTTGTGACTCCCCCTGCACTGGGCCCATTCATAATCATCCTCTGTTCCACCGTTTCTTTGCCTCTGTCCCTGCTTTGCTTGGGGTCTTTTTCAGGTCAGCCCGCTCTTATGCTGTGCCTTGTGAGACCACAGTCGCCCAAGGGAGAGAGTGTCCTTAACAAATTGTTAATTAAGCATCTAAGCTTCAGCTGAGGATCGAGCGGGCAGAGTTAGGAGGAGGGAGCTGAGAGGAGACTGCGGAGTCCCACAGGTCATTTGCAAAACAGGTAACAAAATGAGCATGCCATTTCAGAACTTGATGCACTGTAACCCTTTTTTATCTGCATGCGTGTGTGACAAATATTATGGAAGAGTAATTGACAGGAAGCTACACCTACAATAAAAGCTGAGACTCACATAATGGCTAGTAAGTACAATGTGAAGCAATAGACAGATGAGCTAAACACCAATGCCACACTTGTTATATAGCCAAAATGCTGATATTAGAGTGATTGCTTAGAGCAAGCTAATTACTGTACTACCAGTATCTGAACTGAACTTCCATCTCTGATTTTACCATCAAACAGTAAGACATAGTAGATGCCAATGGAGTACTCACATTACCATTACACTGTAACTGAATCCAATTAGTTGGTATGTGCCATGGCAATGATAACACCAGAAATTCTTAGCAATGAGCTCAGTAAGGCAAGCCACAGCCAGTATCCTCAGTGGAAACCACGACTGCAGCCAATATAAAGAAACGCGAAGAAGCAAGTAAGCTGGCTCAACTACAGAGGGGTGAACAGATCAATGTCAGGTCCTGGCTACTGAAGACATACATCTGAATGTCTATATGCAATGCCCCCGAGAGTGCTAAACAAAGGCTTACGGCTCTGGCAGCCACAATAAGGAGATACACCAGAGGAGCAAAGGCCAACAGGATAAATGCACTGTTCATCACACATCTTTCTAGTGTACTCCCACGCTGCAGTGTGGTAGAGTAACAGAAGCTAAACCGCAAACTGAACAGTACTGGAAGAGCATATAAGACCAAAAAACTTCCTACAAGTCCAGCCCTCAGGGGGATACCACACCTAAGACTAAAGTGGACCACTAAAATTTCACAGAACAGGAACCAGTCTGCAACACAATGTTTTTTTAATGTCTGCACAGCAAATATAAAGCTAGAGCCACCAGGCGATTAGATTAGCTTAGCATAAAGACGTGAAACCACAAACTGTTGCTTTTACATTTAGCTTGCATATGGATGAAACCAACAAGATAAACCATGGCAAGGCTTGCCGTTTTCCACCTGCTTACAGTCTTTTTGCTAAGCTAAGCTAACCATTAGCCTGCTCTAGATCCATAATTAGAGATTGGCATCAGTTTTCTAATAACACTCTTAGAAAGCATGCAAATAAGCATATTACCCCGACTAGCTAACACAGGGTATTGTAGAAGCATCCAACTGCCAACCAATAGCCTGCCTCTTCATATCATCACAACTCCTGTTGCCCATCATAACCTCTAAGCTAAACTGACATAACTATGCAGAGCAAACTTTTTCCTAGTCCCATCTCAGAAATGGGACCGGAAAGAGGTCAACTAAAAGCCAATAACCCAGGTGAGTATATAATCCAGTCCTCCTGTTATTGTGTATATATTACTAAAGATTATGAGGTCCACTCAGTGTTCATATGTGTGCAGATGCAGCTCCTCCCCACATACTGGCACCCTTCCATGATCAGACAGAATGCATAAATAACAGATGAGGAGAAAAACCTAATTAACAATCTGTTCCCTGCAGGAAACACGTGGATTTAAATAGAGTTACGTGGAAATCAGGGTTTTTTTTTCCCCCAACAAGTTTTAAATTATCACTGGCATTAGGTGTCCACAGGGCCTTGAAGCAAGTTCCTCCACAGTGACTGCTGACTTGCTAAACAGGCAATGTGTTTTTGCTGCAGTCATGTCAGCCACTGTTGCGCGGAGAGGCAAAAAAGTGGCAAGGGAAGCATTTCAAAGAGTGAAACCCGGTTGGTTAGGGGAAAGGTAAAGGAAGAAAACTGAATGAGGAAGAGAGTTTGGAGAAAGAGCAAAGAGAAAATTGACTGTTTTCTTATTTTCTCCAAGTCCAGGATTTGTTGCAATGTGATCCTTTCTCCGTGGGTACAGGGGTTCTGATTTATGGGCTCCAAGGTTACTTGGGCCATTACACAAAAAAGTTGACGATCTGAAGTTGGTTCATCAGGGATGATTTCATACCAACATACTAGATTCCAATATCCCTCTTGTTTTTGTTTGTTTTCTAGACCATGTAAAATTTAGACACAGTTGAGAAAAGTGTAGTGGTTTTCGGAGGACAATGGGAGTGTGATGTCTGCATGTTTCATGCTTCAATCTCAACTGCGAAAACATTCAGCTCAGCAGTCAAGAATTGGAATATTTACACTAATAGATATGCTGTAGGTGTAGGTATTTTAAGTATATGCTAGCCTAATAATAAAATAGTGAGTTGATTAGTCTGTCTGTTATATTGACTATTCAGTCCAGTAGCTTATGTGAACATCCAATTCAATCCAGACATTTGGAAAGCAGATAACATGTCTGACTCAGACAGATTTGCTGGGAAAATAAATGCACCAGCACACACATAATTGGTGCTCATCATTAAAAAAAGGACTGCAAACAAAGAAAAATAAAGTCTTTTTTCTTCCGAGCATGCAAGCGTAACTGAAGAAGTTATCCTGGTGACAAATAGCGAGACAGACAAAACGCACTGTGGTTTAGTTCAGTTTGTATGTGTGAAACCAAACCTGCCAGAGAGGAAAAAAACACTCCAGAAACAGCATGTCGTTCAGATGAAAGTAACTGACCCAACTTTGAATACGTGCCTCAGATCCTGCTGTTGTTGTGAGTGCTGGGAGGCCTTTATCGTGATCTTTTCAAAGATAGCAAGTAAACACACATACAAGTGACACACTACTATGGAGATCTTCTTAAAATGTGCACTGGCGCACAATCACACAGCCTCCAAAAGAAAATATACTACAACCACAAAGAGGGGGGAAGGAGGCATCGTGGCTCTGAATAAATTGGTGAACTTCTGCAATGCTTGCAGTGTCATGTGGGGCAGCCTGCACAAAATTGTTTGTGTATCTGAGACACAGAAATTAAGGGCCTTCTGCCCTTCTTACTACACTTTGCTCCTCTTGAACATGCAGCCAAACCGCCCTGTCCTTCGATTAGATTAGCAGGCGTGAACAAACCACTTCCCTCAATACTAAGACGCAAGGATGAAATTTTGATTTCAGAGGTGGGGGGGACACAAGTATTTTTAATAAAAACTGTCCTTTCAGTTCACTGTGTTTTATAGTAGTTCTTTTAGTTCTCTATTGCTACTTTTAAGTTTACTGTTCCCTTTTTTTCGTTTGACTGGGTTGTAAAGCATGTAGCAAAACATTATCACCCAAGTGATGAGGAGGATCTTGAAGTGGATATGCTTGCTTTATTGGGACCAGTGAAGGTGTTGGCAGGATGGGTGTAACGCAATGCTTTTCTTTGAGTAACTTACACTTTGACTTCTAAAGAAGTCTCTTATGTCCACTTTTCTTTTTTTAGACATCCTGGCTGCGCCTAATTACCAAACACACACACACACACACGCACACACACACGCACGCACGCACATACGCACATGGACACCGATTCAAACGTTAATGTATGTGTTCCCATTCAGTGCCTGTATTTTTCTGATAAAGAGCCAAACTAGCTAAAATCCAGGGTTGGGAGGGTTAACTTTAAGAAATGTAATCCGATAGTTATAATTACCCGCTAAAAAATATGGTAAGTAACCTAATCCAAGTATCAGAGTATTAAAGTAACGAAACTTGATTACTTTCCGTTAGGTGTGTGTGTGTGTGTGTGTGTGTGTGTGTATAATATGAAAATAAAAACAAGACAAAAGAAATGTTTTTCTATAAGACAACAGAACAACATAAAATTGTAATCCTGCTAAAAATATATTTTTGTAAAATGCAACTATAATTACATCTATTATTCTGTAACTGCAATCCATTATAGTTAAACTTTTTTGTATCCTGATTACACCACTTTAAACAATTTCAGTGCTTACTAAGCATACAGATCACTGAATCGGTATGTGTCAACCAGCAAGCATTTCTCCTTATTTGATCATTGTTACACTGGTGAGCACCATTAACATAATTGCTAATTACAGGTAATTCATTTGATTATCCAACTAATTGGATGCTGAGATTGTAAGTTTTATGACACATATTGCTTCTAAATTAAGTTAAAATTACGCTTCATAACTGTTGAACATGTTGGCATCTTCAGCAGAGCAGATGAACTGTGGATGGCACCAGTTTAGTGAATCTCATAATGTTTGGTTCATGTTGAAGCTCACAGAGCTGTTGATTTCTATTTCTCTACTATATATTCATCATTGTTGGTGAAGGTCTACTCGTGACCACTGCTCCTTTTATGCAGATGCAGATTTCCTGCGTTTGACATGTGTTCACATGATTCATGAGGTGTTTCCTTTTTCTACGTGATGCATTTGCAGTTTGTAACTGGTTCCACACCAATCTGTGACTACCAGGCTTTTTTTTTTGTACATATGAAATAAGGCAAATTAATTTGAATGTTAATTAAACCTAGAAAAAAAATGTACAGTTCTGTTATATTTTGACCACCCCACTTATATCATTGGAGACTGGCTAAATAACAAATACCTACCTACAATTACACAGCATTGTTGTGTACTTAAATTACCCTCTTAGATTTTGAAAAATCAGCAGTAAAGTATCTTTCAGAAAAACAAAGGCTTTGCTCTTCTGACAAAGGATTTTAATAACCATTTGACGTGAAACAATCACATTTATTTCAACTTTATGTGAAAATTAGCATATCCAAGGCTCAGTAAATGCACTCTTCATAAAAAAGCATTGTTGTCACACTTTATAGACCTTCTGTAAAAGCTGTTTCCTTACTTCATGCCATACAGTACTCAATCTGTGTCACTTTTAGAGACCTTTCGAATCTGCTCACATACCTAATCTATCCACAGGTACACATCTCGTCCGATGTTATTCTTTCTGAACAAACTGTTGTTAGGGTAGATTAAACCTTTAAAAAAGAGGGGGGTTGGGGGGCATAGAGAGGCAAAGTTCCTTCCCTTCCAGTGTCCCCCATGGGGCCGGTATTTCAGGAAAAATATGTACTGTAATCAAAGTCGAAAGCCCAATCATTTTTTTTTATCCCATTTGCTTTGTCATGAATTACCGATACAATGTTTGTCAATTTATATTACCAGAAAAAGTTCCCCGTTTTGTTCTAAAAAGGCCAATATAAATATGTTTTTGTTTAAAAATAATGTAATGTACCATTTAGTGGACCACAACTCTTGTCTCACACAAAACACGCCACCGCCACCACCACCAACATGGTTGTCACACTCCACCTTGTTCTTCCAGAACAAGGGGACTAAGTATTAAGAGGTCAAAATCACTCCACCTCTGGCCATGTTGTCCCAGAACGAAGCACA